ATTGATTATATTGGCCCACTCCCTCTGAGTGCTCTAAATATGCATTGGTTTGTGTGAACACCATTTCTGGCCTAATCCAAACTTTCCCTTGTCACTATGTAAACCAAGCTGTTGCCATTAGGGGATCAGAGAAGCTGAGTACCATTTATAGATACTCACATCAAATAGACAGTTGTCTGGGATCACATTTCAAAGACCATGATATACAAGTTTGGGCAAAGGAATGTGACATTGAATGGAGGTTCCATCTCCCCTATAACACTCAAGCAGCAGAATTGGTAGAAAGGAAAAATGGAATATTGTAGCAGCAGATTAAATCACTAACAGGTATAAGCACCTTGGCCAGGTGGACTGTCCCAGGCTTTGACACATTTGAATGGTCAACCAGTAGGGCCTATTGCCCCATATACCAGATTGGGGACCCCTACCAAAATACTTAATACTAAAAAGCAGCGGTTCTCAACCTTTCACAGGGGTCGCCTAAGACCATCGGAAAACACATATTTTCGATGGTCTTAGGAACCGAGACACCGCTCCTCTATCCGTCTCCAGGCCCACATGCAGATACGCCCACATGCAGATATGCCCACATACGAGTACCTGGCAACCCCTGTGAAAGGGTTGTTAGACCCCCAAAGGGGTCGCGACCCACAGGTTCAGAACTGCTGCTATAAAGGTATGTAAATCATGGGAAATAGCCATTGCTCCCACTTTCACCATGGATCAACATACTATGCTGCTAAGAACACCAAGCCCCACCATACCAGGAAAAGGTGATATCTATTGGAATTTGTAATGAGACATCCCACTGGGTGGATGAATTTCTTCACAACCCTCTGATGACAGGAAACTACTCAATCTCCACTGGGATCCCATAGTCCTGCTATAAATTGGGCCTATTGAAATGCACTATGCCTGGAATGAAACATGCACCATTAAAAGAGGGGAAAAGGTGGGGGTCCTGGTCTGGTATATCCATTTCCTCACACCTGATAGTGCTGCCTCCCCCAGCCAATATGTATGGTATGTACAACAAGGTTAAGTTCCTAAAGCTGCCAGTCTCCCTCTCCTCAAGGCCAGGTAGGCACATTCTATTTTCCACTGGTGTGATCATCTGACCCGTCTTTGTTCCCTCCATTGTCCTGGAGGACATTATAGCACACAGAGAAGCCTTTACTAAATTCACCCAACAAGCCTTAAATGATAGAAGCCCATAATCATGAGAAACTGCTGGAGGAAGAATCATACATAATTCAATAGGAAATGAACAAGAGAGACTGAGGAAATGAAGTCTAAAACTGCTGTATGCACATGTCCACAATTGTAGCTATTGAGCACTTGAAATGTTCTAGACAGAATTGAGATATGCTGTAAGTGTAAATTACACACCAACTTCTAAAACTTAGTAGGAAAAAATATAAAATATCTCATTAACAATTTTATAGTGATTACAAGTTGAAATAATATTTTGGATAGATGGAATTAAATAAATTTAAAGTTAATGTCATGTGTTTCTTAATACTTTTTTTAAATTTGGCTACTAGAAAATGGTAAATCACATGTGTGGCTAGCATTCTATTTCTGCTGGACTGATCTCCATATTACTGAAGCTTGAGATGCCTTTTAGTCATCTCAAGTGGAGAAATCAATTAAGTAGCTGGATATACATGACTAGAGTAAAAGAGAATGGGTGGGAGTAGACACACAATTTTTTGATTCATCAGTTTAAAACATACAGGTTTCCCCTGCTATTCAAAAGTAAAGCATTCCTATGAAAACTTTTGTAAGCTGAAATGGCATAAAGTGAAGAAGTAATTACCATTAATTTAAAAGCAAAAATCCTCTTCAGATTTCTTTTTTTTTAAAGATTTTTATTGGGGTACTGGGGGTAAGGGAACAGTGCTGGGGAATTGGGGGAAGGGGAACAGACAAGTTGCCGTCATCCTGCTCTTCAGTCTAGTTGTGGAGGACGTTGCCCCACTGGCCTAAGTTGCCACCATCATTGCGCTCTTCCCAGGCAAGGCAGATCAGTCGCCGGCTTCTGGACGGCCGCTCCCAGCGGCTGCAGGCCGCTCCCGCTGGCTGATGGCTACATACGGTAGCCCATGGCAACCCACTGCCACAGGGGCTGCAGCCTACACCATTGCCTGCGACCCACAGCAGCCCAGCTCCAGGTTGAGCTGTTGTTCAGCATCCTAGCTGTGGAGGGCAGTGTCACTGGCCCTCATATGTGGGATCCGAACCGGGGCCGGCCCAGATTTCTTGTGATTAGAGAAAACAGGTACTAATGTAGGTCTCTTGTAAAAGCAAAGTGGCATAGCATGAACTTTTGAAAAGCAGGGGATACCTGTATTTAAAAACATGAGACTAGATGGGATCTCCTAGGAAATAAATGTGTGTAAGAAAAACAAAAACTGAGGCCTTGAGCAATCCAACACCTAGAGGTGTGAAAAATGAGAAAGGTCTAGGAGAATGTAGGGTGAACACAAAGAGAGCAGTCTTTAAAGACTAAGGAAGAACATGCATCAAGGAAAATTAAGTGATCACTGTGTCAAATGCTGCCAAAAAGGCCAAATAAGATGAACTCTTAAGAATTATACATTGAATTCTGCAGTTTAGAGTTTTGCGTGATGGCATTTGGTGCTTTCACAAGAAGGGAGTATTGAAAGGACCAAAGGTTAAGAGAAGGAAAAAGAGCCTGTGATCAATAGGGGCTATGTAGATTTTAGTATGCTGGGCTTGAGTTAAGGACATTGGATTAAGTCTACTCCCAAGCAGATCAAATATCCAGGAGACCCACAAAAACATTAGTACGAGGTAGGGTGGGGGCATCTCTAATTCAGCCCACTGAATGCTGGCTCACTGCAGGAACGAACTCAACCTGGGACCTAAACTATTGCTTCCCTCAACATTTGAGATATGGGGTTGTGTGATTCGAGCCATGTCCAGGGACATGGTGTGGATTCCTAATATATATCCCTGGGTGTCTCTAACTCTGTGGGGCTTGGCTACAGAGCTAATTATACATACAGGCCAGTTGCTAACACTTGCAGTGTGTCTGGGGCAATAGTACAAACGAAGGCCCTTGGCCCATGTCCTTGATCTCTTCCCACTGCCAGCTATGTCCTTCACCAAGAGGTGCCTCACATCTAACCCTGAAAAAACACCTCAGCCTACACCTCCAAGCTTTGTCTGCGGTTCACTTCTGCAGTGATCACAATTTGGGCCAAAGAGTGTGCATACCATAGGCCTAGACCTCTCTTCCTTAGGAAGGACCTGGAGAATAGGGCTTTACAGCACCTTCAAATTTCTCAGGGAATGAGAGAACCTGAAACATTTTCTATGCAAGTTGTAGGGTGTTGGCACATTTCATTGTCCTTGTGGACTCCTAGCTCTGTGGTGTGAATACAGCATGAAGAAGGCCTGAGCAGGAACCTTTAAAATGTGGAGCCCAGGAAAGGGCCCTTCTTGGCCAGGTCTATGCCACTACCAGCCACATACTATAAAAACAAAGAGGGGAGAAATACGGGAAAGTAGGGAGAGGGAGTTTCTTTTGCTGATTTGGTATATACCTATACACATATACAGAGGGTGCCAAAAAACGTTTTAAGAAAGGAAAAAACTATTAAAATTGTAATGTTCAATATATACCGATAACAAAAGATGAATACAAGTCATGTGTATACATTTTTTTGGCAGCCCCGGTATCTATCTATCTATCTATCTATCTATCTATCTATATATATATATATATATTTGTCAGAAAACTCATGACATATCTTTGCAACAAAAAAACAGGAAAAATACATCATGACTTGTCCGACAACCCTATATATAAAATCTCCTGCTCATGTTTCCACAACTTAACATCTTGAAAATCAGCCCAGTTGAGTTTCATTACAGAACTTGCAGGAAAATGTAGAACACAGAAGACCATATCACCAGTTATTTCAAGAACTGGATATATATCCTGTTCACAGCATGGTGCATGTCCATCCAGTACTCTTCAAATATGTCTACACACACACACACTCCACTCACTCACCCTTGAATACCTGCTCACAGACTTACAATTTTTAAAAATGAAATTATCATTAATATATTTTCCACTAAATATCTGACCATTTTCACATTAATCATTAACCTTGAATCACTCTCCCAGACCTTTCCCTCCCCCATAGACCTCAGGAGTCCCTGTTCCTGACACAAATTTTTCCTTCTCTAGAAACTGAGACATTCTTCCTTAGCTCCAGACTCCTGCTGTTCTCTCCTTCCTGATTCTGAGTTTTCCTTCTAGCACCTCCTACTCCCATCTGGGGAGATAGTATCTCCCCTTCCACCAACATAAACACAGGGTCATGTCCTGCCTCTTTCCTGACCCTAGATATCTTGATCACCTCTCCTTTTCTCCAGCCACCTTGGGTTACCCTGCCCCCTTTTCTTGTCCAAGTTGCAAATAACCTATGTAAAAGGGTATATAACATATAAATAGGCATTTACTGCACAGAACTCCATTTTAGACAGTGCGAATAAATAACTGCTAGGATCGTATTTTATTCCCTTTCACTTTCAAAGAATCAACTAGCATGCTAAAAACTTTCTTTAATCCTGTAAATAAGACATAGGATTAAGTGTGGGGAAAATAAAAAATGCTACATTTAAAAAATGAAATAAACATTTTTGTTTTATTCATTCTAAAATTTCATTAGATAAAGGCAACTTAGAAGAGCAAAAATCTCAGCTCAGGGGCAAAGGTAGGCCTTTTTGAGGAAGAAGAGGGCCTAGAATCAAGGGCCAACAGCTGGTAAGTGCTGGGTAGTGCAGCTATAGGGAAGAGGATTCAAAACTGCGTCTCCAAACACAGGCTTCAAAACTACTCATGTTGGTTAAAGGCTAGAACACTTGGAAACCTTACAGGTAACAGCAGGAGCAGGCAACTCATTAGGATAGTGGATGTTGGTTCCTTTCTTGGGACTCATGAGGATGCACTTAGAGGAGGGTCACAGCACAGGAGGTGAAGGGGGTGAAGGGATGCTCTCTACTTCAGCCTGCACCTCTGGAGAGACAGGGCTCAGGGCATCAAACTCCAGCTGGAAGGCACGCCTAAGGCTAGCCGGGCTAGGAGTGGAGATGGAACCCAGGCCACAAAACTTAGGGGAAGAGGACCTCTGGCCAGAAATATTAGTGGGGGAGGAGGATGGAGAGGAGGAAGAACAGGAGGAAGAGGAGGACGTGGAGGACAGCGAGGGGGACGAACTGTCATCACACCTCCCAGGCAAAGGAAAGTACCTACCAGGAGGTGAGGGTGAGGAGGCACGCATACGGACCGCATGCCAACAAGGCTGGGAAGGAAGGCTTGGGACCTCAGGATCAGGAGAGCCTGAGCTGCTCGGGATGACAAGCCTTCCTAAGGCGGACCCAGGGGAAGGAGGACCCTCGCCACCAGGCCCAGGGATAGAGGGGCGGCTGCTAGGAGATGATCTTCTCTGGATGCGGCAGCTCCGGAGGACAAAGCCTGGAGTGGTACCCCCGCTGCGGAGGGCAGGGCTTAGTGGGGTGGCGCGGCTGCGGAGGGCAGGGATTGGTGGGCTAGGGTGGTTGCTGCGGGCAGGGCCTGTCCCAGATGCACGCATAGGGGAAGCAGGGGCTGGCTCAGAAGCAGCGCATCGGAGAGCATGGCCTGGCCTGGATGTGCGGCAGCGAACAGCTGGGACTGGTGCGGATCCAGGACTGCTGGGAGCAGGGCCTGTCCCGGGTTCACTTCGGCGGCGTGCAGAGCCTGGCTCCGGTGCATGGCGGCGGCGCATAGCAGGACCTGGCGCAGTTCCCCGGCGTCTGGGTGCAGAGCCTGGCCCAGATTCATCACGGAGGGGTGCAGGGCCTGGTGCGGGTGCACAGCGGCGGCGGGATGCAGGACCACGGCGTACAGCAGGGCCTGGCGGGGTGGTGCGGCTCCGGAGGGCAGGGCCTTGCCTGGCTGCTTGACTGCGGAGGGCAGGGCCTGGTGCAGAGAGCAGGGCCTGGCTCCGGAGGGCTGGGCCTGGCAGGGATGTGCGATCACACGGAGAAGCCCGAGGTGCAGGGCGGCGGCGATGGCTGCTGGGCTGAGCCATTGGAGAAGATGGCGACAAAGGCACGGAGGCCTCAGGTGCAGGAGCCCCCAGAAACAGACAGTGCCGTGAACGCTCCAGAGCTCCCGCAGCCTCTATGCCGCTGGGCCGCTTCTGCTCACGGCTTTTCGCTGGGCTCCTGGTCTGGGCCGGACGCCCACTGGCCTCATCAGTGCCTCTCGTGGCTTGCCCCCTGGCGTCCCCGCTCTCCACATGTGCCGTCCCGGGCCCCACACGTCTCAGCTCCGCAAGGGGACTCTGGCTGCCCCGGTGCTCAGGGCGACCCGTCGCCTGCACACAGTCCATGGAGGGTGACCCCGGGTCCTCCGCAATGACCAAAATGGCGCCGGGTGTGGCCACAGCGCAGGTGGAGTCACCTGCTGTGCCACTGCGTGGGGTGCCGCCACCTGACAGAGATTGGTCACTGGATATCGTGGGGACCCAGGTGCTGGGATCAGGGTTGCCGGTACCCTGGGCGTTGCCATGGGCAGCAGCAACCTCGTTCTCAGGCCCTGCGGGCACCTCACCCTCCTGTTGCTTCAGCTCCTTCTCCCAGCACGACTGGGTGGCCATGATACCTGGTTCTTCCTCAGGGACTCGAGAGCTCGGCTACAGGTTGCTGCCTGGGTGGAGCCAGAGCTGAGGAACAGGAGGGTGGGTGGGCCAGTGGAGTGTCCACTTTTGATTGGTTAGCCGGATATCACGCGACTCTGTTGCCGAGAGTAGCAATCTGCTCCATCTGGTGCCCTACAGGCAGGTGTGCTCCACCCCACCCCCACCTGACCTTTTCTCCCCTCCCTTGCCCCCAGGAGTCCACAGGCCGGGGTCAGTGACGTGAATCCTCCGTCCTTCCCAGGGCCCGACATGGGTGTGTTTCAAGGGAGGGGTCTTGAGCCGGGAGGATGTCCCTATAAACAATTCCAGCCGCTCCAAATCAGCTTAGCTCGTCAGCACCACTCTGCTACCTCAGCCTCAATCGTTGGCTTGAAAGAAATATCACGCTGGCCAACAGAAGATAGTCCCGAGCCAGGTGTCCATTCTGTAATCTGGTCAGGCCCCTGGGCCCCTGTGTGACTCAGAGGGGACGGTCCCAGAACCACTCCAAGCACCTGGATGACCCCATACCGTTGTCTGTTCACAGAGCAGCCTGAAGGCGACAAAAGGGGTGGGGCCCACATTGTCCTGGCTCGGGAGTTTCAGCACTGCTGCCAAGCACCAGAGGGAACTGGGTTTGAATTTTCCAGTAAAATGCTTCCCCGTCTGATCTCTTGAGGCATGGGCTGAAATTGACTGGGATTACTGGCGATACTATCCTTAAATGTACATCTTCCTTTGTATGGGCTGCATAGTAATCCGCTGATTTGGCCCTCTTGTTTCTGTTAGTGTAAATATACTGGGATGCACAGGTGTGAGGTTCAATGTTTGGACACTGACTTTTAGTCATTAGTATCACAGGGCCTCATGTTCAGTACCCAAACAGAAAAGCAAATGCAGGAAAATTAGAACCTATTGTAAATTCCCACATACCCACAGGCAAATAATGGAAGTGATTATTTTTTTGGTAGAATGGCATTCATAAATCATAGTTCTTTTGTTTTTATACAAATTGAATTATTTTCGCATACATACTGTTTTGTAACCAGATTTTTGGGTCCAGAAAACACACTTTGCATGTCAATATATAAATTTCCACAAGGTCGTTGTGTAACTACAAAATATTCCTTTTATGGAAGAAGCTTACATTTGCAAACATTGCTATATAGATCAACATTTATATTGTTTTCAACTTCTCACTCTCTGTAACATATCATTTTTGCCAAAAATTGTTCATATCCTCAAATGTGGTCTTGTGGATATAATTGCCAGAAGAGGATATTTTTGGTATATTTGTAATTCTTTGATCAAAATATTGGTTAGTCGTTCTCCTGAAAGTTGCTGTCGTGGCAATTTTGGCAGAATGGAATGGGATATTTATTGGAATGGATAACCAGCTGGACTGAAATGCAACTCAAAAACAGAATGGAATGGTATTTGGAGTGTTAAATAATATGGAGTGGGAAATGGAATGCAGAATGCGATGAAATTGAGACTGATTCTAGTGAAAACTGGAATAAAATGGAGAATGAACTACAGACTTGAGAAGGATATGGAATGGAAAACTGAATGGAATATGATGGGAAAGTGGAATGGAGTGCCAAATGGAACTAAATATCTAATGGCATAGGGAATAAAATTAAAACATAATGTCATACGAAGAAAGGAAGGAAATGGAGTATAATGTGAAATTAAATATTAAAGAAAATAGAAGGAAATCAAAATTGAAATAGGAATGACTATAGAATGAAATAGAATATGCAATGGCTTGAAATAAATAGAAATATGCACTGTAAATTTAAAAATACCATCAAATAATGGAATGAAATTTGGAATGAAATACAGAATACAAGGTTATGAATGATAGAATAGGAATTGAATAAAAATAGAATGTGAAAACTGAAATAGTGATGAAGTACAGAATGGACTTAAATGAAGAATAAATCAAGAGAATGTGTTCTGGTCATCCACCATTCCACAATAGAGTGTTGTGGAACAACGTCTATTTTATTATGTTCATGGATTTTGTAGGGCTAGAATTCCAATAAGGTAGAGCAGGAATGGCTTGTCTCTGCTCTACAATGTCTGGGACCTCAGCTGGGAAAATATGAATGGCTTTGATGTAATGAGGGAAGGATAACAATGATGAACCCTAGATTTTGGCCATAGAATCTGGGTGAATGGTGGTGCCACTTCGTGGAATAGGTTAGTCTTGCAGATTGGGACACAGTGGGAATCAGTGATCTTGTCCTGACCATGTTGGTCCCTATACCCCCTATAGTTGTCCTACTCATTTAGGGGGATGAACCCCAACTTACCTCATAGCCATTCTCTTAATTCTGTCGGTCAACTTTCAGCAGTTTCATGGATCAAGTTTTCCTCTTGGGAATCACTTGTTTACTCTCTAAGATCTTTCCTCCTTTCTGGAATTTCTGAGCCTTAGTTATGGTTCATGATTCTTGACTTAATAATAACTAAAATACCCTCCATCTAACCTTGCTCTCTTTAATACACACACACACACACACACACACACGATCTGAGAATTAAGTTCATGAATTTATTGCAATGCTATAGTTAACCTTTTTTATATCAGAGGGATTATTCATTATGAATTTGTACCAACTGGGCAAACAGTTAACCAAGTTTACTATTTGGAAGTGCTGAAAAGGCTGCGTGAAAAAGTTAGACAACCTGAACTTCCACCAACAATTCATGGTTCCTGCATCACGACAATACACCAGCTCACACGGCACTGTCTTTGAGGGAGTTTTTAGCCAGTAAACAAATAACTATTGGAACACCCTCCCTACTCACCTGATTTGGCCCCCAATGACTTCTTCCTTTACCCAAAGATAAAGGAAATATTGAAAGGAAGATATTTGAAGACATTCAGGACATGAATGGTAATACAACAACAGCTCTGATGGCCATTCCAGAAAAAGAGTTCCAAAATTGCTGTGAAGGGTGGAGTAGGTGCTGGTGTCAGTGTATAGCTTCTGAAGTGGAGTACTTTGAAGGTGACCATAGTGATATTCAGCAATGAGGTATGTAACACTTTTTCTAGAATAACTTCTCGAACTTAATTGTCAGACACCTCTCTCTCTCTCTCTCTCTCTCTCTCTCTCTCTCTCTCTCTCTCTCTCTCTCTCTCTCT